GTCGCCCGTCAGCCAGCTGCCGCGCGCGCCCCAAACCCAGTGGGCGGCGTAGAGGCCCGCCGGGACGCAGCCCGCGGCCGCGAGCAAAGACTCGAGCCCCCAAGTCTTCCACATCCCTTCGGCCAGCTCGCAGTAGCGGTTCGGCTCGCGAGCTGCCTCGCCCGCCGCCATCACCGAGTCGCACATGCCTTTCAAGAGAGGGCCGAACCCGAGGTGGCGCCAGACGCGCCAGCCCAGGAAGGCCATCGCGAGCGCGAGCCCACCCGAGCGGTTGAGCCACGCGAAGCTCAAAACATTCACGGCGCCGCCCGCGGCCCAGCTCACGAAGTGCCCCTTTTTGTCATTATTCTTACCCCCTGGGGCGGAGGCTTGCCCGTGGGCGCCGGCTTGGAGCCTGCGCCCTCCTCGTCGAGCTCCCTGCGCGAGATGAGCTTCTTCGAGGCCGCCAGCGCACGATCCCTGCTCGCTGGGCTCAGCCCAGGGTGCTCCGTCCAGCTGATGCCAGGGCGAGGCTTTGTGAAGACCCGATCCTTGTCGCGCAGCGCAGGTTCACGACCTGCACCCTCAGGGTCGAGTCGGCGGCCGTCCATGCCGCGCTGCTCGCCTTCCCGACCCTGGGGACCAGCGGCATCGCGATGCCCTGGTTCGAGCTGGTCTTCAGGTAGATCCTGTTCCACTGCGCCCAAGGCGCCATGGATCCCAAATCTGGATCCGGACCCAAAGGGGGAATCGAGAGGGGGAGGAAGGGAGGTATCTTCCGACGTCGATGGCGATCCCCCCTCAGGATCTTACCATTTCCTCAGGATTCAAACCACCGACGGGCTAATGCCCACAACGCTACTTGGAGAACTGCAGACGAATCCAGATACGAGTTGGATTGGCGATCGCACTACTTATACACTGTATCATCAGAGCGTGCGTGGGCTGACGAATTCAGACAGGATATTGGAACGATTTGCAGCGTTGGGACATCTTGATTGGGACTTTGTGACGCTTAATGAAACATGGTGGAATATTAAGGGGTAGTTTTGGTTATCTCGGCACGGCCGTGCATGTTTGGGCACAGGGCTGCATGGCAACAGCCGCGGGGTGGCAGTTATCATTCACGAGCGGTGGGTTTCAGCAATGCGGCTTTCGGCCTGTGAACGAGCGAATCGCATGCGTTGACATACAAATGGGACGCATCAAACTACGCCTCGTGAGCGTATACTTGCCGCATGGTGGGTGCGCAGATCAACGCGCGCAGACAATGTACAATGTCATTGGGAACCTACGCCAAGAGGCTACACAACAACACATGTTGTTTATACTTGGGGCGGGCTGCAATACCAGGGTGGGACAAGCAACGGGGGGCGACGACCACAGAACAATTGGTCATCATGGTATGGCGGATGTGAATACGCGTGGCCAGTGGCTCAAACAATGGGCGGCCAACCAACGGCTCAGGCTCGCAAATGCAGTCTTCAGTAAACAACCGGGTCAACTATACACCTACACGTCCCCCAAGGGAGTACGGGAGCAGATCGACTTCATACTGATCAACAAGCGGGTGTGGGCAGCTGTTCGAAATTGCGAAGTTACGACAGATATCGACTGCGTTTCCGACCACCGGGCATTACGCATGACAGCGCACATGCTCACGGCAACCAATGGCACCGTCACGAACCAGACGACGCAGCGAAAACGGAAGCGCAACAAGCATACGCCAAGTTGGCCACCATACGACCTAACACTTTACCGAGAACGTCTTACATATAAGTTGGATGATCTGCTTTTGGATTTACAGATGCAGTTGGAATGTGAAGAATTGGATGCACGATATGATAATATCGAAGCAACAATTAAAGCACTTATCTCCGACATTCAATCCAAAACTGGCAGGGCAGCGAAAGGCGGCCGACAGCAGACCACGCAACATTTAGAAGATCTATTGCAAGAAAGACGCGACACTCCAGCGTCAGATTCTACAGTGCGGAAGCGACTAAACAAAGATATCCGCAAAGAGACGCGAGCCATCAGGGGGGCGACGCAGAGATCGCATATAGGCAACGTGTTGTCGCAGTATAGAAACTTGAAGAGCATCGGCGGCATCAAATCACACAAGCACAAGGACCTCATCCCGAGCATGGTCAACAGTGATGGCGAAACAAAGCATGACCGCCAATCAATTGCAGACATTTTCGCGTCATTTTATGAAAGCTTGTACACGGCACCAGCAGACGAGCGCAGCCGGCAACCAGCGCGACCGACCCAGGAATTTCAGCCTTCACAAGTTGTGAAATCGATTTTGCTTTGCGACAGCTCAAATCGAACCGGGCGGCTGATTCCGAAGGCATGGTGGCAGAATTTGTGCCACAATGCCTTTCTGAAATGCTCAAGACCGGAGGCGAGTCGTTGAAGAAAGTCCTCCTTCACCTGTGCAAACGCATCGCGGGTCCCGCGGCACCGATGCCAATTTGCTGGGAAAATACGGTCATCAAGGTGATCTACGCGAGCGGCGCTTCACATCTACCGCAAACTTACCGACCTATTGCGACTGCACCATTGCTGTACACATTATTTTCCAGATGACTTTACAACAAATTGCACTTAATCCTGGACTCCCATCGGAGCAACGACTAGGCCGGTTTCCGGCCTCAGCGCAGCACGCGCGACCAGCTCTTTACAATCGCGCGTCTCCAGGAGACGGCCGACGAGTGGCAATTACCGCAGTGGACAGCCACCGTGGATTTCAAAAAGGCCTTCGACACAGTCACCCACCAGAGTATCTGGGATGCTCTGGCTGGTCAGGAAACGCCTGCTGCGTACGCGCGTCTACTGGCCAACCTCTATGACGGACAGACAGCCACAGTCCAGACTGACAGGATGAGCAGGCAGGTCCGTGTACAGAGGGGCACGAAACAGGGCGATCCCTTGAGCCCACTATTATTCAATTGTGTTTCAGAACATAGAATGCGCAACCTCAAGCGGCAATGGTCATCAAGACGGATTGGCCTACAGCTACAGCAGGGACATGAACGACTTAAAAAACTTCGTTTTGTGGACGACAAAATTATGATTGCCAGGTCGTTGCAGCATATTATTGGTATGTTGGAAGATTTTATCACAGAGGCTTCAAAGGCAGGGCTCGATGTGCATCCAGAAAAAAACACGCACACAGATTCGACACAACGGAAGCCGCAATTGTCGCAAAGAGAGGGCGCCCAGAAACAAAATGGCCAACGGAAAGTCGATCGAAGTTTTGCCTCCGTACAAGTCTACGAAGTATCTGAGGAAACAGTTGCAATTCAATGATTTTCACTTCACAGAACTAGAGAACCGCATTTCCACGGCATGGAGAAGGTTTTTTGCTTTACGGCAGGAGTTGACAGGGAAGCATTACTCAATCAACAAGCGAATCCGATTATTTCATGGGACTATATCTCCAACTGTGCTGTATGGTTGTGAAGCGTGGACAATGACAGTGGATATGGAAAGCCGACTCGGAAAACGCAGCGCCAGGTGTTGCGAATGATGATGCGGACGCCCAGGCGACGTGATCAACAGTTCGACCAGGGAACATAATTCAGCGGCAGCGACGGCTTGGAGCCATGGGTGGATTACATCCGGCGATCTACCAAAAGAGCCGAAGAAACGCTGGGGCGACTGCACATCGACGACTGGATTTCCATACAACGACAGAGAAAATGGAATTGGCCCAAGAAATTTGCAGTTTGGGGACGCATGAATGGACACTACAAGCTTTACAGTGGGACCCACAGCAAGATCCAACGTGCGGTGCGCGTCGGAAGCCGTGACGCCCGAAAAGGCGGTGGTGTGACGACATCCGACAACATGCGGGACCAAATTGGATGTCCATTGCTAATACTGACGTATGGGGGATCCTCGAGCCAACGTATTTAGGCAAGTCTGCTTCCTGTCTTTCTTTGTAGCTATGCATTGTAATGTTTGTATGGGTACATCCTTATGTTTAATGCAGATTCCTCAGCTTCGCACATGTTTCAGATGCCCGGCGCTACGGCGCCCACCTGCGACGCCCTGGCCGGCGACAGCAGCAGGTCCGAGCTACGAGTTCCCAGCTCCGAGTTCCAAGGCGCCACGATCACGGATGCGCGAGACCCGCGCACCCCGATGCCCCCGGCCTCCTCGTAGTCCGTCGAGTAGGGCTCGAAGACCTCCTCCGCCTCCGCGGCCCAGATGAAAGGGCGGCCCTCCTCCAGCAAGTCAGGGGCTGACCACCCCAGACAGACGGCCAGGCAGTACCACCAAGCCCTCGTGGTGGGCGAGGCCTCGGGGGTGAATTCTGACCCCACGATGTTGTGCGATCCGTTGCCGAAAAGAGGCTCTGGGCCGGGATATTCGCTTGAATTTCAACCCTAGTGTCGAAATCTTGCGCACGCGGCGAAGCCGACGAGGACGGGAGGAGGAGGAGGGGGAGGAGGAGGAGGAGGAGGAGGAGGGGGAGGAGGAGGGCAAGTGGAACGGCACGAGAGGGGAACATGCAGTTTACAAGTGCGTTGGACTAACAATAAGTTGGTCGCACTGGCCAGTCTCGGCTGCGACCGCTTAGTCTTCCACCACGATGTCTCTGTCCCGTGGCGATTTTTGTCCGACAAGCAGTGCACGTGTCTCCCGGTTTGTCTACTTTGTGTTAAGTGTCCGCATGTCTGTTTCTCCTGGAGGTTTCACATTGCATCTTTTACGCACCGCTTGTGGAGGCTATCGCTGGGATGTCCGCTCTCCTCCTCTCCTTCAAAGAATCACTGCTAGAATCCTCGACCCCCTTCGTTTTGCTCCGTCTTAAATCCGACTCGATCCGTGAGGGCCCAGGATGAACCGAAATTGCCCGGTGTGAAAACATAGCGATGCCAGGATCTAGGGGCATGATCGGCGCACGTGGCTCCCCAGCCAGGGCGGGAGGGCTTACAACACCGACCGTGGACCCTGGGGACGAGCCCGGCCGGGATCGGTGCGCGCGCGGGCCTTCGCCCACCCCGCAGGCCAAGGAGGTGGAGCGGCAGTACCGCCTGCTCGCTCGGCGGCACCACCCGGACAAGGCGCCCCAGCACTTTCGGCCGCAGGCCTCGCAGCGCTTCCGGGAGCTGCAGGACGCCAAGGCAACGGCCCTGTCCTGGCTGCAGCGGCGGCAGCAGCCCGAGGACTCCGACGGCGACGACAGCGCCGAGGACTCGAGGGATACGAGAGTCAGAATCCAAGCATCAGCCTTCGGAGGTCCACGCCGATTTCTCTCGGGTCGGCGCCGGACCTCCCTGAGGCGGCGACTCCGGCGCCACCCCTGGCGCGCTCCGCATGGTAAGGAGGGGGTCCGGCGCCGACCCGAGAAATGCGCGCGGTCCTGCCTCCGCAAGTCTCTGCCGACACTCTTGCTGCTGCTCGTCTTATTTCATCGCTTCGCTCACTCCGCTGGCCCACACTGTTCGACGGCTCTCGGATCCCCGCGCGTTCGCTCGGTAGGCTTTTCCCGGGGCTCTGGGTGGTGTTTTTTGGGCCCTCGTGGCCTCGGGCTGTCTTGGAGCGGTCTTGGGGGTCTCTTGGGCCGCGTCGGAGCGTCGGGAAGATGAAAAGGCGAAGGCGCGAACATCATTCAAAAACCATCGGAAAATCAATGAATTTTGCCTATTGGGACTCTTTTGGGAGGCCTCTTGGATGCCTCTTGGAGCGTCTTGGTGCCCTCATGGGCCGTCTGGAGGCTATCTTTGGCGTCTAGGAGCGACCTTATGGCGCGGGGCTCTCTTGGACCATCTCGATGATTTCTTGGGGGTCTCTTGGCTCTTCTTGGGGCTCTATGGGAGACCCCGAGGGCGGCGCCCAGGAGGATCATCATCTCTGGCGGGACCTTGCCGGGGACCTGCCTCGGGTATTTTCCGCCGAGGGACCCCCAGGGGCCACCCCGCGCGCGCGCGAACTATACATACACAAGACTGCATTGGCGCTTCGCGCCATGCACCTGGGTCCTTGAAGTTTGGCATGCAGGCGGAATGGGAAGAAGGTCAAACAGACAATTTAACGATCACTCCTTGTTACCTTGTCTGGCATCGCCGTTCTAATAATCTGATTCGCTATCCTTCCCTCATGTTTCTTTTCCTTCATTCTCGCCCAACCCTGCGAATTCTTCCCCATCCTCCTCAGCTCTTTTTGCGTGGGCTCCTCCTTGGATAGCCTCTGGGGGTCTCATGGAAGTTGTTCAGGCTTTCTTAAGGCCTTCTGGAAGCCTCCTGGGCGTCTTCTGGGGGCCTCTGGGGGCTTCCTCGGGCCACCCTGCCTCCAACCGCGGTCTCCCTGAACGACCGGGTCACGATTCGGAATGCTTCGGAGGGTGTCTTGGGGCCGTCTTGGGCCGTCATGGGGCTCTCTTAGGCCATATTGGAGTCCTGTTGTGCCGTCTTGGGGCTCTCTTGAACTGCCTGGAAGCCCTTTCGGATGGTTTTCGTGCGATTTTCGAGTCTCCCTGGCGGTCTCGGACGCCCAGAAGACCGAAGGACAGGGCATCCCCCAAATCATGCACAAACCTTGGAACATCAATGCTTTTCTGCGTTTTGCAAGCCTCTTGGGGGTCTTCTTTGGGTCGCCTTCGGGCGTCTGGTGGGTGTCTAGGGCCTCTTGGGGCCCTCAGGGGGGCGTTCGGCTGCCCTCCTGACCGATTTAGGCCCGTTGCCTAGGCCCAGCAAGGGCTTCAGGAGCTCTGAAACGCTTGGGGGGCCTCCTGCAGGGGCGTCCACGGGGGTCCCCGGGGCCACGGACCCCGGGGGTCCAGAGGGTCCCAGGGGCCCAGGATTCGGGGGTCCGACTTTTTTGGGGGGGTCCCGGGCAATACAAATTTATGAAAGGGAATAGATGTAGATGTATCTGTGTATGTACATGTATATGTACATGCGTATGCATATGCATGTACGTACATGTATACGTACATGTATATGTATAGGTGTGTTATATGTATATGTGTATGTGTATGTGTATGTGTATGTGTATATGCATGTGTATGTGCATGTGCATGTGCATGTGCATGTGCATGTGCATGTGTATATGTATGCATATATGGATGTATGCATGCATGCATGCATGTATGTATGTATGTATGCATGCATGCATGCATGCATGTATGCATGCATGCATGTATGTATGTATGCATGTATATAAATATTTGTGTGTGTGTGTTTCTATGTTGGACTATATACATATTTATACATGCACACACATATATATATATACGTACATATATATATGCATATATATATATATATATATATATATATATATATATATATCCAAATATGTGTGTGCATGTTTATATATATATATATATGTGTGTGTGTGTGTGTCGGAGGAGGCCTCGGGCAGGCAGAGAACGATGACCCCGGGTACACATGACGGGGCAGGGGCTCCAGGGGCCCGCTCGGGGGGCTCCAAGTGGCCTCGTGGTCGCACGGAGAACCCACCAAGTGGTACGACAGTCTACCAGACTGGGTCTAGCATACCCCGAGAGCACCGGACATGTTTTCTGAACGGCCTCAGAAGGCTTCCAGACTGCGCCAGGATGGCCCCGTGCCAGCTTCAGTGGGCGTTCGAGGTCCCAGACGAGTGCCCCAGAGAGGCAACAATGATTGATTTTGCGAGGGTTTTTCAATGTGTTCGGTGCCCTCTCTCTGTCGACACTCTGACACTCCACGACGGCCCACGAGGCCTCCGACCCCGCCTCAGGACGCGCCCAGCGGCCCCCAGGAAGGCCTCGGGACGGCCTGGCAGGGGGGCGTCCAAGATTGCCCACGCGGCTTTCAAGACGGCCCCAAGATGGCCTCCCGAGGTGGGTCGTGAAACGAAATTTTGAATCTTTCGCCTCGAGGAGCTCCCCGGAGGCCTCCAGAAGGCGCCAGGACGGCCCTCAGCAGGCTCCAGAGAACGTCCGAGGCCCCAGCCGAGTGCCCGACAAGCAACAATTAGTGTTTTCGTTTCGTTTTTTCCCATGTTTTCGGTGCCTCTCGTTCTCCCCATCCTGACACTCCACGAGAGCCCACAAGGCCTCCGACACCGCCTCAGGACGGGCCCTGCGGACCCCGAGAAGGCCCGGGGACGGCTTAGCCGGGTCCCATGACGACCCCTGGAAGACGGCTCTGGAATGACCTCCCGAGGAACGGCATGAACAGAAATTTCGAGTTTTCCGCCTCGTGAAGCCCCCCTGAGGCTTCAAGAAGGCGCCAGGAAGGCCTCGGGCAGGCTCTGGAGGGCACCCGAGGCTCCAGACGAGTGCCCCGAGAAGCAAAAATCATTGATGTCGCTAGGGTTTTTAACTGTTTTGGGGCTCCCCCATGGCTCAAGCTTCCGACACTCCACGACGGCCCAAGAGGCTTCCAACACCGCTTCAGGACGAGCCCAGAGGCGCCCAGGAGGACCCGGAACGGCCTAGCAGAACTCCTTCGTTGACCCAGAAGCGCGCCCGAGACGGCCTCCGAGGCCCAGAGGACGGTCCCAAGATGGCTTCCACAGGGGGGGCATGAACCTAAATTTCAAGTCTTTCGCCGAACGAGTCCCCCAGAAGGCCCCAACAAGGCTTCCAGATGCGGCCACAGGGCTCCAAGAGGACCACAAGAGGCCCCCACGACGCCCCAGAAGGCTCCCAAACCAGCCAGCCCCACGAGGCCAAACAACGGCCCCCAAGAAGCCCCCGCGAGGCCTCCTTCGACATCCCTCCTTCCTTGCCCTGTCCAACCCAGCTCCTACCGTTCTAGTTTCGTTAATTACATGACGCCTCTCCCGTCTCACTTCGCAGCCGCACCACCACGACAACATCTCTGAATGGCTGACGCTTGCTGTCCTGCGGGCTTTGCAGCCTCCTTTGAGATACCCTAGCAACCTCCACGATGACCCCAATGCGGCCCCACACCATCATGTTCCCGGAGAGTCTTCCGGGAACATGACTGTCACCGCCAGTCCGGCAAGGAAGCCGAAGATGAGGAGGACGGTCCGCGCCGCCACCGGACACGCCAACTCAGCGCAGCGCATTGCTGTGGCCTTTCCAGCCCCCTGCCGTTTTTCAATTGAAACCTTGCGCCTCCCCCATCTCCCTACCAAGCCTCACCACCATCTCAACCTTTTGCAAATGCTTCCACTGGCCCATCCTTCGGGCCGGACAGCCTCAATCGGCCAACCCTGAAACCGAGGGCCCCCGCGCGGCCCACCCCATCATGTTCCCGGCGAGTCTTCCGGGAACATGATTGTCGCCACTTGTCCGATTATGAGAACTACGAGTAAGAGGCGGAGGAGGAGGCGGAGGAGGAGGAGGAGGAGGAGGCGGAAAGGGAAACGGCAGACAGAGACCAACGGGGGCCCCAAGGCGGCACCAGGGGCGCCCAAGGCGGCCCAGGATGGTCAACGACAAGAGGCCCAGAAGCGGCTCCCAAGGGGCCCCCGCGCGGCGCCCGTCACTTTCCCACCGAACATCCTGCAGGCTTTCGACCCACAGGACGGTGGCGGGATGGGCCCACACAAGTTCTGGTCGCTGTCGTAAGCCCCCTACGGTCTTTTTCACCCTCCTCCTCGTGGCTTTCCCAGCTCCAGCCGGGCTTCCTCGAGTCACCCTGCCTCAAACTGCGGTCTCTGTCCCATTTGCTGGTTTCACCGCCGTGTGTTATGCGCTTTTTTAACACACTTTTGCAATGCCCCCCTATGGTGAAACAGCGACTTGCTGGGTGAGGTGGGATAAGGCGATTCAGTTTGGTACCCGAAATGGTGGTGTGGTTTCAGCATGGTCCCCAACCTTGGAGGTGTACTAAGTTCCAAGGGGGGCCGTTCGCACGTGGCCTCGGCCTAACGCACTAGGGGCGCAAGCCAACACCGTGAGTGCGCATGCGAGTTTCGGTCATTCGCCAAAGGCGAACCCGAACGGTCGCAATGTGCCAGGTAAGTCAGACGATGCAAGCGACCGCGTATATTGGGCATTGTTTGCGGCACGCGGTCTGGAGATCCCAGCCGCGCGCTACCCCTCATTGCAAGGTTTTGAAAGGTGTCGGCACGCAGTGCCATTAATGGGATGTGCCAGGGTGTCGAGCCAACAAATCCTTCTCCTCCGTCTCCCTCCTCCTCCTCTCGCTACTCCTGTCCCCTTTCCTACTCGTTCGTCCATCGTTCGCCCTCCTCCCCCTCTCGCTCCTCGCCCCCCTCCCTCTCCCCC